TAGCTTTCCCTAAAGTACTTTTATTATTTTGTTATTTTAAACAATTGACCATTTCACACAAATCTCTAATATAAAATAAAGATAAATATAAAATATGAATGAATTCCATGATTAACTAAAGGGGAAGTTAGAAATCGTAACGGAGAATAGTTGCAATTGAGGAACCAAAGGAATACGAGCGCACCCGAGGTCCCCGAAAGATTATAACAGGCTTTCATTCCTAACATGAGCTTAATATAATACGGACTCCGACAATATTATATAAATATACATATGCGGTTTTCATAAATGCTATTGTTTCTATTATTAAATAAATTATAAACTATATTATAAATAAATATAGAGTCTGTAATTTTTATTTTCTCTTCCCCTTTGCCTGAAAATACTTATTTGTGCTAGAAGGAGTGTGGGAAGTGAAAGTTGTGTGATGCGCGCATCACATTTTTATGGTTTGGTATGCGTTTGTTTAATGTATTATTTATTGTTTGTATAATTTTAGATGCTGAAGAGAGATCAAAAGTATTCCCAAAACATACAAATACAAAGTATAATGAATAACCTATAAATGGAAACTGATTATTTACAATAGACAAAAAGTAAGGGAAAACATTTTTGATCCCTCACTACCGAAGGTAGAAAAGCATTGTATTCGTGCGCGAGATAAAAAAAAAGTTGTGCTCATGATTAAATTTGGTTCGGTGTCTGTCTGTAGTCAAGTCGATGTAACGGAAATATCACCTACTACCGTTTATCCGATTTTCATGAAATTTTCAGGAGTTGTGCAGGTTGGTGTTTAGTTTGTTCTATCTTAATTTTAATGAATTCTAACTAGTACTTCCGCTTACACACGCGCAAATGCATTTTTGTAGATATGCCGATATTTCAGAAATAGCTCGTTCGATTTTGCTCAAAGTTGGATAAAAGATAGGTATTTGTGAAAAAATAATGTAGAGTCAATTTGACTGAATTCTGTCCATTATTTTCTCTTATATGTGAGCAAACTTGTTTTCCTTGATACGTCTATATCTCTAAAACCGCAAGTTCGATTTGGCGTTTACAAAAGCGATTTGTAAACGCAAAATGAAAGAGGCATCAATGTTATTAAAGTCTATCTAATATTCCAAATAAAAATACTTCCGCTTTCAGATCAGGAAATGTGTTATTTGATATGCCTATAGCTTGAAAACGGCGCATTCGAGTTGACCCAAACTTGGAGGAAATTTTGTGAACAGTATAGAGGTTACTTAGTATCAATTTCATTTAATTCCATATAATAATTAAAGTTAATATAAATACTTATTAACAATATAAAGACTGTAAAATGTGGAAGTTCAACCAGTTCGTCTTGGTCTACTTTTCCTCCTTAAATATCGAATTTGTGTGAACTTCACTCACATTATTATATTCTAGCTTAATTAGTTTTGTTCCTACTGAAGAAAAGTATCGGTCTCGTTTACTCCGAACAAACAACAAGTTGAATTTTTCCAATGGATTTTTGTTCCATCCATTTTACGACAGAAAACATATCCATTAAGTATATATCAGTACTGTTGATTTAGTGCAAAGTCGTACTTAAAATTTTTCATTTTTATTTTATTTTTGACATTATGTTATCTGCAATCGATATACGTAGTCTACTACTACGAAAAATAGCAGTAAAATATAAAATTACACTCATCAATCATAAAGGAATAATTAGATTTTATACTTTCCTGTGCAAACACTCAATTTTTACATACCCCATTTGCACTAGTAGTAGCGAGATTCATATTCAGTATGCACTTTTTTTATTTATTACGAATTATCAAATATGAAATCGAAATTGTAGGTTACGATGAGATGAAGCTATTCACGATGTTTCGTTTAGATGTTAATAAATTAATAAAAAGGGGTCCGTAACAAGGACTATATATCAAATTTATTATGTCATAATTCTAGGTGACTGATTAAATATATAATCACCTAAATATAATTATAATAAATTATATATAATTGATTAAATATATGATAATTATATTAATTTTTGAAGTAATATGCCATTCCATTGCTCAGTCAATGTCATCTGGAGTTAGTCAGAATCAGATTCGGACATCGTTTTATTTTATTACTCCAGTTTTGGCACGTAAGATGAGCCATTACAAACTAGTTGTTTCTATTCATACTTTTAAGGCTTTAAGACTCATAATCTCGAATTCTAATAACTAATTAGAACGATAAGATAAACTCAACGAGGATGAAAAAATGAATAAAAGAAAAAAATAAGAAAAATTAAAATCTAGGAACCTGTTTACAGTTGAAAACATTTTTAAAAAATTAGTTTTTTTTTTGAAAATATAATTACAGGAAGTGATAAAGATAAAAACAGTGATAATGAAGCAGTAGTGATATAAACAGGCTCACGGTGATAGTGACGTGAAAGCCCAGATGATCGTGGCGGGGGGCTTCGCCCCAGGGGGCCGGTAGCGCCTAGCTTAGCTCCGATAATTTATGGCCTGCTTCCATGCGATCTCTCTAAACACTTCTGCCTTTGTGATAGCATATCTTCATCAGCTCTAATCTCTCCTTTTATTAACCGGATCACAATGTAGCGGTTTTTTTATAAAGATGGCGATTTATTTCTAGTAGATGTATTAATTCTTCGAAGAAAGTACAATGAGACCTTCAATTTATTATATTCATTAGTCTCTGGACTGTATCTGCACTTATGCGACAATTGAATGTATAACTGCAACAAAAATATTAATTTTCTGTCATACGCAACTTTCAGAAAAAAAGATGTGTTTAGAAAGTTAATTATAGCACTTCTTTAATTTAAACTTTAATCGAAATTTCTTCCTACCTTATCGGAATAAAAAAAACCTTATATGCTCTAAAAAAAAAAGAGTGTTTAAGCCGCTACTTATGACGACTATGTCATCTGTAAATGAAGTTACTAGTTCGGTACTTGGGTACAACAATTATATTTGTTTCTCTCTTCAAGCCACTTGTGTAAGCGATTGATATCCAATTGGAATAATGAAAATTCAAAAGCTTTTGCAGCGAACAACCTTCATTTTGAGAATGTCATAATATGAGAAAGAAAATATGCTAAGATTAGTGTTGCCCAAAGGCGAGACCGAGACGAGTCTTGGTCATACAAACTCTGTCTTGGTCATGGTCTTGGTCTTGTGTAAGAGTCTCGCAACAGTCTTTCAGTTACTATTAGCTTATTACTATAGAGATATAACTGTAATTTTTTAGCTAGGAGAAACCTAACTAAGCCCGAATGAAAAATTAGAGGAGTTAAATGCAAAAGTATATGGGTTATACCAATTATTAACATATAGTAACTAAGATTGTATTAGTAACTATTTTGCCTTAATTTTCATTAAAATAATCGATTTTTTTTAATAGTCTTGGTCTTGGTCTTGCAACAGTTAGGCGCCCTTGATCTTGCAAAGTGCAAGATCAAGACTGTTTTTGTGCAACACTAGTTAGATGTGTGAATTTTTGAAAATCTCAAGATAGTGATTTTGGTTATATTGAAAAATTATTTATTTTGGGACGAATTAGAAGAATGATTATACCCGATAATATAAATAAAAGGCTAAATTTTTAGGAAAAATTTTAGGTTTGTCGCTATTTAATGAATTTATAAAAATATAATAATATGTTGTTCTTTTCTTGCGGCCAAAATAGTTAGAGCCGTTTTTGAAAAAATTGTAAAAATGTGTTTCAGCGTTGATATACAGTGGTACTTCCGGTTATATGATTTTAACCGAAAAGTTACTGTCACCGACTCAATACAAACCTTAAATTCCTAATATCAGTTGCGTACTACTTTTCGTTTATGAGCAGTCAGTTAACACAGACACACAGACCATTTTGCGACACTTGGTTATTTGGACTCAGGGAACCTCAAAACATGTATTTCTTTTGAAAACTGAGATTTGAAAATATTCACGATCGCAATACTTACCTTACTATATATTACATATATACGTAAGTGAACATAAAAATGTAGGCAAAATATTTATTAATACTCGACAATTTTAGTTACTATAAGCTAATAATTAGTGTAACCCTTATAGGGAAGGAATTTATTACATGTATATATTGTATAATTGTATACTATATATGTAAATTGTTTCAATAAACATTTTGGAGGGTAAGAAAAAAACAAAAAAATTTTGCATATAACTCCTCCAATTTTTCATTCGGGCTTAGTTAGGTTTCTCCTAACTAAAAAAATACAGTAATATCTCTATAGTAATAAGCTAATAAGTAAATGCAAGACTGTTGCGAGACTCTTACGCAAGACCAAGACCATAACCAAGACTGAGTTTGCAAGACCAAGACTCGTCTCGGTTTTGGCAACACTATTTGTTAGTTCGAAGCTTCTCAAACCAACTTCAGGAAGTGTCAAATAAATCTATGCGGAATGAAAATTAATTAGCATTACGCTGAATCTGATCTATGATTGAATGGAAGGCATAATTGATTGAATAATTGAAATTAATAAAAAAAAGCCGAGGATGAGCAAGATGGGCACGAACTAGAAAATTAATTTTACTAAGGAGGATGAACAAATAGACATTTGCAATAACTAATTTAAAGAAGAAAATAATATCTTTTTTTATGCTGTGTGCTAGAGAATCAATATTTATATTGATTAAAAATATCAACTATGGTTATTTCAAGTACGATATCTTGATGATAATATAATATGATTTTTAAATTAAATTGTTTCTGACTGTTTTGAATGGTACAAAATGGATGTATAAATTAATATTAAACATAAATTGGAACCTGTGCAAAATTTATGTTTTCTCTCTGAATTTATTTTCAGTGTTTCAAATGTATCTAGGTAATACATTATTTATTATAACATAACTACTTACTAAAGAAAAAAATATAAGTTAACTTTTATTGAATCTAGGATGGCCCTGGGGTTGTCAAACTCTAACCAAGAGAAGGGATAATTCCTCAGACGATGACAATTGCAGAAGACTCTCGAGGAGCTAATGACTGGAAGCTGACGTGCGGTCTGCAGGAGTGGACTCTCGACAATGGACTTCCAGCTCGTTTCCTCTACTTCGGGGCGGCCGTCCGGAAGTTATAGGATAACCAGCAATCACGACTCCTTGGGGAGAGTTCGTGTCATCCTCCGCCTGGGCAACTGTCATTATCTGGCATTGAATTTCTTCTGGAGTAAAATTGACAACTTCGTATCACCATAGATAAATGTTTATATATATATATATATATATATGTATATATATATATATATATATATATATATATATATATATATATATATATATATATATATATATATATATATATATATATATAGTTTTCTCTACATTGTTATTTCTTTTAAATGATAGTCAATTTAGTTACATACATTTTTCAGTTTTGTTTTAATTTAAAACCTTTTTTTCTCATTAACTATAATATTACTTCTATCTCTATTGGTGTTCTTATTTCGAAGATTTTGAACATAGCATTAAGACAGAAATACCCATAACTAGTCAATCGCCAAAGGTGCTGTATTCCACCATGAAAATGTCAAACATGTGTTGCCCCAGATGTTTTAAGAGAGCGGAATTATGAAATTGTTAGAGAGATGGCAAGAGTTTATTAATGAAAACGGTGTATACATTATAGAATAAAATTTGTTCTTTGTATGAAAAAAACTTGTTTTTTTTCACCCTTCAAATACCAAAATAACTGCATTTCATAATTTTCTCACTAATCCTGTCATTTGGCTTTTTTCATACTCTATCAATTGTAGTTCATAAATCTTATCATTATATTTATAAGGCTTTCTATCTTTATATTTATACAATTTTACTCATTTATTATTATTTAATTTATTTCTCCTATTTTATCCTTTATTACTTATTGCTTACCATATTATCCATTTTTCTTATTGATTTTTCCTAAATCGTTGAAAGAGGTAGACAAAGTGAGACGAATGTCAAAAATGCTAGAATAATTTTTATATGTTTCATTTGAATACCACCAGGAATATCTTGATTCGAAATAATTTCCCTATAATATGTATATAATATTTTTGTTCATTCATCAATAAAGATTTGAATTATTCATGAAAAAATAAAACAATGAAATTTTTTATTTAATTATTTAATGCAAAAAAACTCTCTAAAGTGGCACAAATATTATGGTTAATGTAGAATAAAACTTCTCGATTTAAACCAATTATTTAATGGAAAAAAACTCTTTAAAATAGCACAAACGACACAGTTGAGGTAGAATTTAACTTTTCTCGATTTGTAATCAATCCATAATATCCTCAATGTGTTTTATGATAAATAAAGTATAACTGTAATGAAATCAACGAATGTTAAAATTTTATTGGCCTGTACCTAACAAGATATGATTAAAATATAATCAACGACATCAGAATTAATATAAATGGTTTTGAGAGAAATAGATAAGTCACTTACTTTTTTTAAAATGAATATTTGTTTTCAAAAGCTTATGTTGTTTTTAGACTTAATTTTTCTGGAATAATTAAATTTTGATTGTACATCCCCATACTAGACTAATTAATCCATTAAAAAAAATATTTCATCACTATGAACCTACCTATTATGCTCCACTTCAAACTTTGTTTTTACACAAACTTTTTATTTATATGTATGATTATTTTAATTAACTTGTTTATACCATAGAGTGCATAATGCTCCTAACAATCTTCATCTTTTTACTGTCACTGCTTGCTGAGCGTTGCAATTTATTTATGGCGAAGTTGAAAAACATATAGGAGGGTGTGTTGGGACAAAAACCCCTAAACGCACATTAAAAATAAAGAAGAAATAATGCAGCTTTAAGAATGCAGTCAGAAAATGAGATTAGAGTCAAGAAGGGGCAAAACCATTAGACCGGTATTTCTTACTTTCATCTTCACTGCTCAGATATTCAAATAGGCCGGGTATTCTTAGTAATAAGAAAATGTACATTAAAAGTTATTCATTCCAATTAAAATTTCTGATGCTTAAAAGGGAACTGAGATCGCTTATAGAAATGTCGCTAGGGTATAAGAGATGGTTTTAGTTTTATGGTGATTTCGTGAGCTTATTTCTGTAATTAAATTAAACTTAAGGTAAATACTTTCTTTGTAATAGTCCGAAAGCCCATGTGAGAAGAGATCGACATTATTTGATAAAAACTCTAAACGCATTTTTTAGAATATTTATATTTAAAAAATGAGTATTTGGCAGTCGGATCTTGCTACCTGTAAAAATAGCAGGCGATTTAAAGAATATTAGACCAGTAACTTGAGGTTCGAAACGAAAAAATCATTGCTAAAAAGTGTTGTTAACTTATATGCATTAATTGAGAAATGTTTTTTTTTTTTTATTATTATTTTAATGGAATTTACAATTGTATTGCATAGAGAATACAATAAGTAAATGAGAAATTGGTAACATGGCATGTACAACATGAAGAGAAACTACCCATTGGTAGAACTCAAATTAAAGTTCTCTATTAGAAGATCCCGAGACCATCTTCTTTTCAGACGCCTCGGAGAGTTATCAGGGATCGAGGAGGAAGCGAGGTTTGAAACGAGAGGATTCGGATGGTTCTGCAGTTTGTTATGGAAGGAAAGGTATCTGGATTGGGCCAGATTGGAAACATATTGGAACATTAAGGTCTTTATGGATGATTTTATTTGTGACAAAGTAAGGAGCGTTGAGGATTTTACGAAGGATTTTGGATTGTAAGGATTGGATACGAGAGGAATTCGATGGTTTAGTGGAGCCCCAAAGCTCAATTCCGTAAGTCCAAATAGGTCTTATTATTGTCATATATACGAGTCGTTTATAATTGATTGAAAGCTTAGATCGTTTGTCTAGTAAGTGCTGTAAGTAGTCGAAAACGTTGGGCGGTTTCTATTCGTTTCAGTCTGGTATGGGGGTTCCAAGTGAGTCGTTTGTCAAGGTGGAGTCCTAAGCAGCGGATTTGCTCAACAGGAATAAGTGGAGTATTATTGAAGGATACTGTAGGACAAGAGGTTATGGGTTTACGACGGGGGGTAAAAGTGATTTGATGGGATTTGTTGGAATTTATTTTTATTCTCCAATTTTTACACCATTCTTCAAGACTCGTGATGTGTGACTGAAGAGTTTGGGATGCAATTAAAGGATCGTTATTAACTGATAAGATACACGTGTCATCGGCATAGGTGGTGATGACAGTGTTGGAATTGAGAAATGTAAAATTCAAAATTGCAAACGCTGGCCACCAAAGGAAAATTTTTTACGGCCAAAAAAGCCTGATATTTTTTTTTAAACTCCTAAACAGTGCATCGAAGAGAAAAACATATTCTCTATAACGTATCACTATAATTTATAAAAGTTCTCTATGAGAAAAAGCTCATAGAATAAAAGTTGTAGAGCATCAAATTACGCGTCCAGTACGCGCGCTGATTACCACTGAGTTTTAATATAGATCGATTGTATCTCTCGAATCCGGGATTCGTTACTTCTTCATGAAATTCAGATGTTCTTGTACACCTCATTTTCCCAAATTCTTCGCTGCTGCGAGATGGAAAAGAGTTCTAGACTGCATATACTAGACTCTTAACAAGAATAACTCAGTAGAACAGACACCAATGCTATTGATATTTAAAATTAAAGATATCTTCTTTTTTCAAATTTCCAGCCATCGCTATTCACTACCGATTTTGAGCGGAGTAAGTAACCTTTATTAAAATAGTTGGTACTCAGTGTACACGGAATTTAATGCATTACACCGTTTATTATATGAGTTTTTTTCGCTGAAAGAAACCGTGGATAAACCGTGGTTATCCACCGAACTACGTGACCAAATTATTAAGTTTACGTATTTATTCCACACACAATTTATTATTCTTTAATTTCTTACTTGTGCTTTTTCGCTTCGATGTACGGTGTAGGAGCTAAATCTGCAAAAACAAAAAAAGATTGAAAAAATCTGGTTTGTTTGGCTGTAAAAAGTTTTCCCTTGGTGATCCACGTTCGCAATTTTTTACATGTCTCAACCAATATATTTATTTATTATTTTTTTTTTAAACCATATATATAAATTTTCTGTAATATTTAAATACATAATATTTTCTTAATAAGACATGTTTTAAAGAAATAATCATTAATTTAATAAGGAAACTAAATGTTAAAAATACTGTATATATATAATGATAATTACTTTGAACAAAAAAAAAAAAAAATATACTAGCTACCTACTTATATGAAATGGTGTTCAAGTAATTCTTGAAGTCCTACTAAATGTAATTACACGAACAATAATACATTAAGATATAATTTTTTTACCATAAATTTCCTCCTTTTTACGTCTACAACCTCCTCCAGTTCAAATACTCAGTCCATTCCCTGTCCACAAGATCTCGACCTTCATCCTTCACACAGATCTGATTCATTCCAAAACTCCTTTATTGCTCGCTCTGTCAATTTTTGGAATTCCCTCCCTATCAAAACTCGTCATTCCCCATCCAGTCAACAGTCAGATAGTTGCTAGCCATTCGACAACACATTTATTTCATACCATTCATTGTCAAATATCAATGCTAAATGATAATGTATTTGTATATTAATCAGGCACTTTATATTGTCAGATTCAGCTTTCTGTTTTCTCAACAGAAACACAAAGCTTATTTCTAATAAATAATTTAAATTTAAAGTTTTTATATTTTAATTATTTATTGTTTTCTTAAAAATGTATACTAGTACATCAGTGAAAATAGCTTTAAGTGTCTTTTCATAGTGTTAATTGTTTTGTATATAGAATGTTTACCTAATATTTTTTTCACATTATTTCTTTTTTTAGATTGATTTTATTTTGGCCAGATGTAATCTTTTAATTTTGTTCTATTTTGTTATTCTTAAGGGTCTGTGTTCCAGAATAAAGTAATTTTCTATCTATCTATCAAAAATATGGTTACATTTTACCAATATGGGGGGGAGGAGTATTCAGCCCGAAAGCCTTCTCCCCTCTCCCTCGTAGATCAGCCTGTGTTCTAGAGTAGCATCCGAGAGCAGGATTCCTAAGGACACTTCCATGTTTATGGAGCACTGCATGTCCCACAGCTGTTTAGTCATGTTGATAGGTAAAATTTGATCCGCCTTGTTGATTGGATGTTTAAGTCTTCCCTTACTCGTCCCATTGTGGTTCGTAAGAAAGCGAGGACCTTGCGATGTTAGCTCAGGAGATCTTCGGTGAGATCATAGAAATGTGGAACAGAAGGGCAAATCAATTGAGTCCCATCGGATCACTTTACGCAGTCCGTGTGAACGCGGAAAAATCGTGAGCTGAGGACGGACGGTCGTTAGAGTTGACTGTAAGTCCTCTGTAAGTGAGGCAGTACATCTGCGTTCCACCGCTTCGTAAATCCATCCGCTCCGTCTTGTTTCACCAGCTTCTTATCTCGTTAGGTTCGCGGCCGGCTAAGAATATTTATAAGTCGAGGTCTTCGAGCTGAGGCGATTCATGTGGGAAATGTGTGAAGGAAAGTAGAATTTAAGTTGTTTTCTCTCAGGCAACGAGGCTATTGGGAAATGATGATTAGGAGGCTATTGCCATTTATTTCAAATCACATTTACATGTAACACATGTAAACGGCGCTGTCTAAGTTGGCAGGCTTTTTTGTATTGTAATCAACGAAATACACAGGACGAATCGGGGTGAATGGGCCAAACTCTATGAGTAAGTTGTACAAAGAAAAATAATTTACTTTTTATTTTATTTATTTAATTACAGTTTAAGGTGCCATGTACAACAACAAAGGTTAGATGTACCGTGTTTCTGTTATGTAATTACACAATTTAAATCATTTTATACAGTTTGTTATCCTTAAAAAATTGCAGCAAGTTGTTCTGGTATCCCTGTTCCAATGCTTGACGGTAGCTCCGGAGTCTTAGTGAAATTCTTGAAGGACATAGGCGCTGACAATTTATTTTGAATGGACAATTTATATTGAAAATCCTCTTGAACATTTTTTCAAACGCCACATCACCGCTTTGGTAGTTTTAGGTAGTATTTCTCAATAATTTTGACAAAATTGATTTAACTTTACTGATGTAACTAACGATAATACGTAACTAATAAGATTGCGCTGTATTGGTGAAGCACAAAATGCATAACCATTCGATACGATGCAAATGCCTTTATTATAACCATTAAAGCCCTAAGTCTAAAGATATTCTCTTAAAAAACAACCTAGGCACTTTTAAAACTGATCTAACTGCCAATATGTATTGATTTGAATTCTTGCCCAACTAAAAATAGAATCATAAAAGCAAATAAATAAATTATAATTTTAATTTAAAAACAAAATTGTTTGTAATAGATAAAAGATAGAGAACCAATTAGATAAGAAATAGAAATATAATAAAAATAAACAAGCTTATGGTATCGATTTAGAACCAAAAATAAACTGAAGAAAATTTAAGACACCGAATTAAATTTAAAATTATGGACAACAGTATTTTATGGACATGTTTTTATGGATTAGATTAGGTTTGATATGAATCAAAATGTAATAAAATAATTTTAATAAAAAGGGTTTAAAGTGGTCCTCCTCAAAGTAAATTGGGTTTACAACTAATATACCATTTTGAAACATAATATAAGGATATGCAGGAGGTAATATATTATTTTATCTTGAAGTGAGTTAAAAGTGGGTTACAGAAAAATAGTTACTAATACTTGACATTCTTGAATTTAGTTACTAGGTGTAAAGAATTGGTATTACCAATGTACTTTTCCATTTAACTCCTCTAATATTTCATTCAGCCTTAGTTGGGTTTTAACTTGCTAAAAAATTACATTAATATCTCTATAGTAATAAGCTAATAGATAACTGCAAGACTCTTGCGCAAGAACAAGAGCACGACCAAGACTTAGTGCGCATGCCCAAGACTCGTCTTGTTCTCGCATTTTGGCAACTCAACTACTTCATGTACACACTGATTATGTAAGGATCATTCTCTATGTCTAATGCTACTCATTTGTCAACTCATATATTTAATCAGTTATAAAAATGTTTTTGTATTTTATTGAATGACAAATTATACAAAAATGTGTTAGTATTTTGTTGAATGACAAATTATACAAAAATACGTTTGCATTTCGTCGAATGAAAAATTATGCAAAAATATTTTTGTATTTTGTCGATGAAAAATTACAGTATACCTGGTGTTTAACTTATATCGGATAATTTGTATATTTTTTTAATTAGCTTTTTAAATGTAATTTTGATCATCAGTCAACTTCTAGCCGCATGGGATACAAACTTCAATATGACAATTTTATCATTAATAATGCCATTATGAGATCATAATAATTATCTAGTCTGTAAAAGAAAATATTTCATGTTGCTCAAGAAAATCAGATATGCACTGGTAGAACTGGTAGAAGTTCAGAATAACATCTAAATTAACTCCAAATCTAGTGAGAGGAGTAGCATGATATAAAAAAAAAACAAAAAAGAAAAAAAAACAAACTTGTAGACTTAGTTTTATTATTTGTGAACAGGTTAAGTTAATTCGGAGACTTGTTAAGGTCAATAACAGTTAATTTACTATCTCCTAGTTGTTCGATATTCCGATGAAGGAATTATCAGTTCACTTACATGTCACATCATGGTTACAAGTTAATTGGGCAGCTCACATCTCCTATATTAATGAATTTTCAACTTCATTAGGCCAATCTACTATGACGGGTTAGCTGGTATAGCTACATCAAATTGCGTTTTGTGTTGCAGTCGCCGGCTCTTGCAATAGTTATGACCGCTTGCCCGCCCGACTGCTACACTATCCGAGCGATTAATTCGGCAATTAATTGGAGATCTGTCACGGCGACAGGGCTCGAAAGGAGGTCAGGCGAACTACGCTGATGAACAAAGTGTCAACGCACTTTCTATGCCGTTTTGAGGCGGCATTGTATTCCCACTCAGACAAACACCGCCCAAATTCTGCTATTTACATTTTTAGGAGGGGCACAACCGCTCTTTCTCCTTTTACGGCCGCCAGCTCTTTAACATATACCGAAATAAATAGGCGGCCAATGGAGGCCCCGAGTATTAGATATTCCAATTGTCAGATAGCGTTGCAGTTTATGGCGTCACCGACTCTGATTTTCTTCATATGCTTGTATATTCAAAAGTTTCTTTTCTCCTTCTGTGTTAAGTGGTATTTTCGGAGAATGTTCTTCTAAGTTTGGAGAAAAAGAAAAGGAAAAATAAAATAAAGAACGTCGTATTTTAGAATTCCTAATGGAGAAAGTGCAATAATTATGCAAAAGTTTTACAAATAATCCCTTCAAAACATTTTCAACTAACAGAATGTAACTGCACTTGATTATTTGTTAAAGCAAACGATTCTTCTTGAGGATAGCCAATCAATAACTTTAATAATTTTATTTAAAGATTTCAATCTGTTGGTATGTTAATTTGAGAAACAATAATTAAAACGCTAAATTGGAGAAAACCAATGGTAACTTATTGCTTTTTGGGGAACTATTTAGTCATCTCCAACCAATGATTTGATATTGTTGGAAAGTTAGTTTGGGATTGCATTCAATTAAAAAATATTTAATTTTCTGTGGACGTTACGGCCTACGTTTCATGAGGAAGAAGTACAAGATAACTAAAGTATTATCACAAGAAAAGTATGGTAGCACCATATATATATATAATTTGCTATTAATGAAACTTTAAGGAGTGGATAAAAATTAAAATATACGGTATGATGATGTAATATATGAAAATATAATATAATGAGAATAAAGAGTAAAACTTTTTTTATTTTTATTAAACGCCTCTGCCGTTGGCTATTAAACTATTCGGCTCCTGGCAGCCCAATACAACTCCGCCATGAATCCTTTTCCATACATCTAACTGTACAGCCTCCAATTTATCATTCTCTTCCATCTTCTTTTTAATTGAAAAGGTTACCTTGAGTGATGATTTAGCAGCGACAATTATTCCTGATGCAACCTGCCTGGATCTCTGCAGTTTATAAGTTTGATATCCCGGTAATTGGTAGAACTTGATATTTTCAGTGGATGAGCCGACTTCTACGATCCCACATAAATCAGCATCCTCCTTTGTAATAATCGTCTTCCATTCTGTGAATTTGTCAGCAGTTAGGCCACCAGAGTTCCTGAACAAAGCCTTAAGCTATGTGTTGACTGGGCATTTTGGTTTTCTTAATTTTGATGGGTTCATATTTTTGTGGATTCTATGATGTTGAACTGTCTTCGCGACTACAATATTGCTCATTTAGTTATAACCGGAGGGCACGTGTACAATGTACGGACGCTAGCAAAGTTACCCAATTTTTATTGAAGCTTTTTTGTTTAAAGTTTTTTAAACTATGAAAATATAAGTAAAATAGAACGATGACAACATTTTTTAAAAAATTAATAAAAGATGATAATGGATTGTGTGATATATGTTAAAAAATAATATTTTTTTTACATTCACTTACAGTGTGGATATGAAATATATTTTAAGTGAAATTATTGCGATGGTGAAAATGTTTGAATCTGAGTTTTTAACGGAAATACATGTTTTAAAGTCCTCTGAATCAAAACAACCAAGTCCCACAAAATGGTCTGTGTAGTGTTGCCCAAAATCGGTTACTATATTTAAAGACTTTTGCATTTTTCATTTGTGCTTAGTTAGCTTTCCCCTACCTGAAAAATTATAGTAATATCTCTATAGTAATAAGCTAATATGTAACTGCAAGACTAATGCGAGACTCTTGCGCAAGACCAAGACGAGTCTTTGGTCTCGCATTTGGGCAATACTAGTTCTGGATATGCCCTAGCCACATGTCGTTCTTCTGTCAAATATCAATCTAAGATAATGAACTTTGTCTGTCTGAAGAATTTGGACATTTTCAAGGTAAATAACATTGCAAGTTCCAGGTAGAAGCGTAAAAGTGACATGTAGTGATTTGTATTGGTTGTGACGAATTTTCCAGACTGCACTCGTCATGGAATTTATTTAGGTGATATTGTAGAGCCTGTGAGGCGGAGAATTACTGAAAATTCCATTTCATTACTTCATTATTTTATTGTTTATTTCATTACTTTAATACTTCCTCACTGTTACTTTATAGTTAGCTATTGTTAAATTTGTATTAATCTTATACCCAAAGAAATACTATAGCTTCTCTCATATTTGCATTTCAGATCCTAAAGTCATTGGAGACTGATTACTACAGCCACATGCGCTTAGGATAAAAGATTTATTAGTATCCGTCAATTATATCCTTTTTTGAAAATAAATATTTTTTTAAAAAAAAGGCACACAGAGGTCATTGCACCTTTGAAATGAACGAATGTATTAAATCTCTGGAGTATTATTTTAAAAGATGATTTCCCTGCAC